ATGGCGGTTGTATTTTGTGTTTCAGCGGCAGGCTATTTGCATAACCAATCGACAGCAAATACGTTTGCAAGTCCCACGCCAAAGTACCGAAGTACCAAAGAAGTACCCCAACTGGTTTGGCACTTTTGGTACTCGAGATTTCGGTACTGGTACTCGACCGGAAGTCAATGGAAAAGCGAAAGTACCGTACTTTGTGAGGTGGAAAAGCGCCCTTGTTGGGGTACTCCTTTAATTTTGTGCTGTCAGTCAGGGGCGGTCACTGATGATGTCATTTGGCACCGGTACCATTTTTTACGCCAGTGGAAAACCGACGTGAAAGAAGTACCAACTTTCGGCACTTCATGGAAGTACCGAAAGTACGGTACCTGGTGCGGTGGAAAAACGCCCATAGATCACAAACTCCAGTTAAACACGACGAGACTTTATCATGCTGAATCTTAACTGATTTAATTTACTGATGCTAAAACACTTTCTAAAAGACCAGATTTATTGCTGTTGTGGCTCACATTCACGTTCATGATGTTACCCAGAAGGAAATGATCCTTCTTTTCATTTTTTTTTCCAGATGATGTAATTACGCTTTCTGACTCTGCAGGTTTGTTACCAAGAGAAACCAGCACTTCTGTTTAAATCCAGAGGAGGCCTGGGTCAGTAACCATGTCAGTAAGCTGAACAACAGGAAGAGCACTGCCTCACAACAGCATCCACAAAAACAGCTGAGACCATCAGTGTGAGTCTGTGCTGCAGCCACTCCCCCTCACTCACTCTCTCTGGGCATTACATTTTGAAAGACAACACTGAATCAAACCTTCTCAGCAATGTTTCTAAGCCACTATAACACCCTTTCAAGCAACGCATGTCACATCATAAGGAGTCACTGTTATGGCATTTGGCACAACATTTATCTGTACACATGTAAGAAGTCCTGTCAGCAAGGTTAGCACAAGCACTATTTCGGCTAAGTCCGCCATTGCTCAAACTCACCTAATGTATACAGCAAACAGCGCACGCTCTGACATTAAACAAAGTAGACAACGGCGCACAATCTGACGTTTCGAGCAAAAACTCTGTTTTCCCTGACTACATGTTGACGCTGAAAACGGAGTTTCTTAAAATCTTCACCCTGGGTGGAGTTCAGTGACCTGAGACGCCATTTACATGTGGACAAAAGCCCAAGACGTATAGAAAAAGGTACGTTATAAAAATACCTGTGTACATGTGGACAAGGCATCAGGCAGGTACTGAAATACACTGAATACAAAGACTAACACGGGGCAGTTGTGGCTAAACAAAGCTAGTGGCAGCAAGGAACAGGTGAGGACAATGCAATCAATTAATCAATTAAGGCACAGGACAACAGGTGGAATTAATTACAAACACACAACATACAAACACCTCCTTCTCCAGTTACTTTATCTTTAGCTGCAATTTTCTCATTTTTTAATTTCTTGTGTTCCATGTCCACTTGCTGGCTTTCAATACCAACATGTAGGGGACAGACATCTGAGGAAAAAGACATGAAAGAATGGCTGATAATGTAGTTGGTGTCATGCCCCGATCGTCCGCTCCTTTCGTGTGCCACGCCCCCTCATTAACCCCATGTGGATTCCCCGTGTTTATCAGCTGTTTCTGGTTACTGTCATTAGTGCAATGTATTTAGTCCGCGTTTCAGTTTGTTTCCCCAGTCTGGTCATTGATGTAATGTCAATCTGCCTTGCTGCATGTTCCTTCGTGTTCGCTCCCATTAAACCCCGCATCTTCCCTGATCCTGTCTCCTCGCCTCTGCGTTCTTGGCCAGCGTGTAACAGAATGACCGGACTCCCGAAACCAAGACCAGGTACTTCGCCGGCGTACCCGCTGAGGGACGATCTTCCCGGGATTCCCAGGATGATCCCGGCGAATTTCGTGTTCTGCGACCCCAGCCTGTACTGACCGGATGCCGACCGGCAACCGAAGCCGGCCCCTGAGGTGCCTGGCCGCATAGCCGCAGCAACGCGGAAGAAGCGGAGAGGCAGAAAACGGGAAGACACGCCTGAGGTCTGTCTAAGGGCTGTCTCTGTTTCCGCCGCTTACCCTGCTGTGCGCTGGGAAAATCCTTGCCCGATTCTCCACCCGGCGGTGTTTGCTTCGCTGCCCAAGCCAGCTTCTCCCTTCCACGGGACGCGCCTGGCCCTTAAAGGGGCCAGGTCCATTAAGGACGCTATCCCGCGGGTTCCGTGATTTCGGAAGCGGGCAGCGCCCCCCCGTGGTTCCTGAGGCTGCAGTGCCCCCCTGTGGTTCCCGAGGCTGCAGCACCACCCATGGTTCCTAAGCCACGGCCCCGCCTGGAGACAGCTAGGAGGTTTTTTACCCTCCAAGGGCTGTACTGGCGGGTGGTAGGGGAACCTGCAGTGAGAGATTCCCCGGAGGTGGTCAAACTCATGGAGCAGCTGCGGAGGGAGTTCGCAGCAGTGACCCCTGAGTCCCCACTCCAGCAGTTGGTTATTCCAG